CATGCAGACACCGAGATACACAGCTGTGGGAGATGGCATGTGCTGAATTAGCTGACTCTGCAGAAACACCCATGCAGGCGCACACAGGCAAAGCCCAATCCCAGCTGTTTGTTTTGCAGTATGTTTTCCCTTCTTGTGGTTCTTTATTATTTGTGTCTTCATTTATTTTTCCTTTCTGTGAACACAATGGCCTGGCTCAGCCGGGAAGGGGGTGGGGGAGGGCTGTGGAATGGGCTATACTGCCAGTCACTGCAGTGTACAGGGCTGTGTGTGTGTGGGGGGGGGCAGCATGGGAAGAGTGTGAGTGTGTGTGTGACTGTGTGTGTGTGAGTGTGGGTTGTAGGGGGCCAGAGAGGGCACAGTGTGTGCATGCTGTGGGGGGCGCTGTTGCCGTGAGAGACAGGTAAGGAGCGAATGTAGGAAAAAACGAAGGAAAGTGTTGTGTCCAGTCGGATCAGCTGAGAGAGAGAAAGACGGAAAGCCAGGCAGGCGGAGTTAGGCGGAGAGTGGAAAAAGAGGTGAGGTGAGGCAGGAGAGGGAGGGAGGTGGGGTGGGGTGAGACAGGGGTGACTGACAGGGTGAGGAGGAGAGAAAATGGACAGAGGGTAGCATTGACAGGAGAAAGTGCTGGTCGACGAGAGCCAGGGAGGATGAGGGAGAGGGAAGAAGGGGCGGACTGGCGGCTCCGGGGGGAGAGAGTGCATTCACACAGCGTGCGCGCTGCAGCTGGACAGAGGGAGGGAGAGGAGCGCGGGCAGCGGAAAAGTACAGGAGGAGGAACGAGCGCGGCAAGGAATACAAACGAAAGAGAGGGAAAAGAGAAAGAGAGTGAGAGAGCAGCCAGGCGGACAGAGCTTCTGGGAGGGAGGGAGAGGAGAGGAGAGCAGAGAGAGAGTGGCGAGGGCCTGGCTCTTGTGTGACAGAGAGGCTAAGCAACAGAGACGCCTGAGAGACAGGGAGACTCACAGAAGGAGACACTAGAGAGAGGAGAGAGGAGAGGGAGAGGAGCAGCCTGGCCGGCCAGAGCTCCAGATGTGTCCGCGGAGAGGGGTAGCGTGGGACAGCGGGAGTGTCAGCGACGCGCTGCCGGGTTCTCACACACGTGGAGGTAAAGAAACGCCCGGCCAGAGAGGTGAGTGAGAGGGCTGGGGAGGAGAGAGACGGGAAGAAATCCAACCGGCAAACTTGTCTTGCAGGAGAGAGGGGGCAAAGTCAGAGATAGATAAGAACGCATGACAGAGGAGAACAGGGTGCTTTAGTGAAAGAGAGTGTAGGTACAGTGACATGTGGGTACAGTCTGGAGTCCTGCAGTGTGTGTGTGCAGCGTGTTCCCTGACAGGACAGAGACAGTGACCCCTGGTGCTCGGGGGACTGGAGTCCTGCAGTGTGTGTGTGCAGCGTGTTCCCTGACAGGACAGAGACAGAGACCCCTGGTGCTCGGGGGACTGGAGTCCTGCAGTGTGTGTGTGCAGTGTGTTCCCTGACAGGACAGAG